CTGTAAGGATTCTATGCCTAATGGCACAATTCTAAAAGGAACAGAACAACCTGGGGATTCATGCGCATCGAAGTTTGAAAGTGGCAGGATATACTGAGGGCGCGGTCAGCAAAGCAGATGGGATCGTGTCTCTGTATATAAAGGCACTGAGTACAAAACCAGCAAAGATACACTCGCGTGTTTCGGAAGCTCTGGTCTGGCCCAGTCAGGCGGTTCCGTTCTAGCCACTGCACTCTCAGAAAGAGAACAGGAGATTTACCAGAATGGTTTCAGGGATGAGGGATTTCAGCAACACGTTTGGTTTGGAAAGGCTGAGGAAGCTGTGTAAAATTATAACAGAGTTTGATAAGGCAGAGAGATTAAAGGATGCAGACTTAAGGTTCGGGGCAATAAAGGGCAAATGTGAGGAAGAGCTTTTTACACAATAAGTGGAAATTGTCACCCACAATGATCTTGGAAAAAGCAGCAATGATTCAGATGAAAGCTGGATGGACACTTGGCAGGGCCATGGGGATTGAGCTGGAGAAAGGGACTGATTGGGTTCTAGGGAGTCAGCACAGACTCAATAGGCTGAATGGCCTTCTTCTTTGCTGCGACATATCTAAAGCTCATGTTTATCCTCCCCAGAACCACCCACATTTCGAATCTGGTGCTAGTTAATGCCCTCCTGTGACCCTTACCCTTAGATGGAGCATCATTTAACCAGCAGAGAACAACACAGAGATTCAAGTTCATTCAGTATCCAATTGGGATGGGTTGGATATGAACCCAGATTAGGACACTGAGATAAATGTAAGGAGATAAACAGATGTTTAATTAGTAATGTGTTATTGGGTTATGGAGAGCTGGCAGGAAAGTGGAGTTGAGGCTGAGATGAGATCAGCCATGATTGTACGGAATGGTGGGGCAGATTTGAGGGGCAGAATGGGCGATTCCTGCTCCTAGATCTTCTGATCTAGAGATCACTTGGCAGTGTTCTAAATCACTGCCCCATGCATCTTCCAATTCATCGATATTCCTGCTGGCTTATATAAATCATACTATTTGTGAACTTATCAATATCTAAGCTTCTGCTAGTGCATTAAACCAATTTATGGTTTTATAAACCCTGAAACATCCAACTCCCCCACTCCCATATAAAGTGTCTGCTCAATCCAATTCACTGTAGGAAATCCAGCAACGTTCACTGTCTCTGCAGTATAATAGCTGATGACTGTGTGGACTTGATACACGGCAATTATAATCCTCACTTTCCTGCTCAGTATCAGCTCCTGAACTGGAATGTTGTGGTATTTAAATCCTACTCTAGAGGCTCCAGGTTGGGAATTCAGTGAGGTACCTGGGGAGGAACTAGGCTGAAGAGTGACGGAGAAGTAGTCACTTGTGGCCCAACCAATAACTACCTATCAACCAGCATCACAGTTAACAAACAAACAAACAAACAAACAATCTGGTCATTATCACATTACTGTTTTTGGGATCCTGCTGTGCACACAATACACTGCTGCATTTCCTACTTTACAACAATGCCCACCCTTCGAAAGTACTTTGGGGTGTCTCAGGGGTCAGGAAAGGGGCTGCCAATTCCCTTTGCCTCTGTGAAAAGTTCAGTCCGTCCAAGAATTGAACCCAGGTCCTTCTGGGAATTCCACTAAAAACTGTCCTAAAAACAAACTGCACGCCCGACCATTCCGTTTGCCTCTTTCCCCTTTTGTTTTTCTCTTTCTCTTTTGAAACCTTTGGTCTTTCTATTTTGATAAGCTCACCATGAGCACTGACCCTCTGCACTTCCTCATTCTTTGTAAACTCCGAGCAGACAGTGCTGCACTTACGCCCGGCTTTATCCAGGGGTGTAAGACATACTCGGCTCATTCCAATTTCACTGAAGGACCTCAGTTTGACATTTCCTTTACATTTTCCCTTCTCCCAACCAATTGTAACCTCCTCTAAAACTCAGGTACAGGGTCAGTAAAGTTGGCGCTTGATTTTGTCTGATCAGATATGAAATGACTAAGTGGAACAGGCCAGACTGGCTGAACAGTCTCCTCCTAATCCTACATCTCCTCTTCCGTCTTTGGCAATTTTCAACACAGAAGCCTACATATTAATACTGGCATCACTTGAGGTTTATTGCATTTTCCTTTTGTGAAGTTAGTGATGCCAACAAATCTCTGCCAAGTCGAAAGGAAATTACGTTTCAGGTCTCTCAAAAAGAAACCAACAAGGACGTGCTACGAATGTAAAAACAAAATTTGTAAAGAGTTATCTACAATTTTCGGTTGGATTGCAACTTTCTACTAGTCCCGATAATAGAAACTGTTGTGCCCATCTGCTGGTGGGTTGGTGCCAACGGTGAAATTGAATATTTAATGCCAAATGGTTCCACACTGATAATACAGTCACCCGGAAGGATGAATGGTTTTGGTGCCAGTTCTCCCGGGAAATAAACTGTGGTACTTAAGGCAAATTCTTGATCTGGGTTTGTAATCAGATCACAAAATTAAAAACTGCCCTTTCTACATACCCCGACTGCACCACCTCTGATAACTTGCCATCTATTCTGTTACTGGCTCCAGACAAAATGCCAACCTGAACTCCTTCTACACTACAGAATAATCCCTGTTTTTATTAAGGATACAATAGGATCTTATTGCGTTCGCAGTTTATTGTACACATAACCACAGCACTGATTTCACACAATGACATTTCTCTGTAAGACGTAGAAACTGATGTAGGCCATTCAGCCCATCAAGTCTCAATTCAATGTGATCATGGGTGACCTGATCATCATCAACTCCATTTTCTTGCCCCTAAAGGGGCTGAATGACCTCCTCCTAGAATCTGTACAGGGAGAAACAGGCCATTCAGCCCACCAAGTCCGTACCAAACTTTTGAACAGCATATGCACCGTGTCCCTATAATCCTGCATTTCCCCTGGCTAACCCACTTAACCTACATATCCCTGGACACGAGGGGCAATTTAGAATGGCCAATCCAGCTAATTTGCACATCTTCGAGCAGTGGGAGAAAACCCACGCAGACTCGCAGAGAATGTGCAAAACTCCGCATAGACAGCTGCCCAAGAGTGGAATCGAACCCAGGTTCCTGGGGCTGTGAGGCAGCACTGCTAACCACTGAGCCACCATACTTCCCACATGGTGCCTCAGTTTCCACAGAAGGCTCCCACCTGTTTGGGATGCTCTCTGGAATGGAGTAGTTGCCTTCTGACAGAAAGAAATAATTGACCTCAGTACCTATAGCCTTTGAAAAAGGTGGTCTTTAGAATTCTCTTCCCCAGAGAGCGGTGGAAGTTGGATTATTGAATAAATTCAAGACTGAGATACAGATTTTTGATCGACATTGTGATAAGGACTGGGCAGGAGAGGTCTCAGTTCAATTAGGCACGATATTGCTGAATGGTGAAGCAGGATCAAGGGGCCAAATGGCCTGGTTGTGCACTGATTTCCTTTCTTATCTAAGCCTTGATCCTTTACTGGAAAATGTGTGAGAGTGGAGACTGGAGTTTGAGAGGTTGCTATCACTTCGTTGTGGTGGGGAGGTGTTTTAGTTTTGGACTAGGTAATCTGGCAGAGGACAAAAAACCCTCTGGCTCCCAATGGAAGTGAATCCAGTACATTTTGTGGAATCTAGAGCAGCAGGATGCCATTCAGCCCTTTGAACCTGCTCCACCATTCCATACAATTGTGACTGATTGGATGGTCACCTCAAATCCACATTCCCTGGTAACCTTTCAACAGAGAACTTGTTTAACAAGAAACAACCTACTAAATATTCAAGGACTCAGCTTCCATCACCTTTTCAGGAAGAGAATTCCATACAATCACAGGATCCCTTCAGTGTGGTAGCAGGCCATTCAACCCTCAATGACCCTCTGAAGAGCAACCCAGCACCTCCTACCCTAACCCTGTAACCCTGCACTTCCCATGGCTAACCTACCTAGCCAGCACATCCCTGGACACTATGCCTGATTTAGCACAGCCGATCCACCTAGCCTGCACATCTTTGGACTGTGGGAGGAAACCGGAGCACCCGGAGGAAACCCATGCAGACACGGGGGGAATGTGCAAACTCCACACAGACAGTCACCTGAGGGTGGAATCGAACCCTGGTCCATGGCCCTGTGAGGCAGCAGCGCTAACCACTGAGCCACCGTGCTGCCCTTCCCTCATAAAACAACCCCCCTCCTCATTCTGCGGATTTCTGTGAATCCCCAACCTGTTGACAGCAAACTGAATGTTCACTCTCAATCCCCTGGCCCTCGTCCAGCTCAGGCCCACTCTCCTGACCTTTATCACTCTAGACCAAACCAATGATCGAACTAATAACCCACATCTACTCTACTTGGGGACAGGTAATTGTAATGATTGCACAGGTGGATCCTATTGATTATGAGATCCCTGATTGGGTGCTGTTAACCCCGGGCCGATCAGGGAGCCCTGGCTGACAGATATAACCAGGAGATTCAGAGAGTCTCCTCAGTCTAGGGACTGACTCTGAGCTGGCTGGTCACAGCCCATGTGCAGTACACATATAAATAAAGGGTGACCTGGTTACAGGATACCAGCCTCTGTGCTGTTATTTCAGTAATAAATGCTGCAGCTCCAATTCCAATTTGTGTTCTTTGTTTGGAAGGATGGACAATGCCAGAGGACGTGAATTAAACACATTTAGGAGAAGGGGCAGTAAAGAAATTGCTGCAGTTTTGATTGAGGGCTGTTGGGTTAGCTTCCTTTGAGTGGTACTCAAAGACCATTCTGACTGGGGCCTGGCTAAGTTGCTCTCGCAGAGGGCTAATAGGGGCTAATGCAGCCTGTTCCTGAGCTTGAAGCGTTGATGAGTGTTGGAAACATCCCGCACGGGAGGCTGACAGCATGTCCTGACCGAGGGGGCAGATGCTTACTCTGACCGCGACTGGATGTACAAACAGCATCAGAGGAGTCTTGCCCTCAAACAGAAGAGAGAGCAACGAGCAGACTAACCTGTTGATGAGGCTGTGAGGCCGGTACTGGGTGGCGAGGAGAGGGCCGTGAATTGGCAGGGACCCCACTGGGTGGTTGGAGAGTTGCACCATCCTGCTATCGGAGCACTGGACGAGGGATGGGATGGGGTGCAGGGTCGTCAGTTCAGTGGTCTGCACCATCCTGACCCCTCCATTAACCTGGGGGCTCTCCGCACCTGGGTGGAGCTTGCTGTGACCCAGGCTGATCACTGGTACCTCCAGCGGCAAGCTTCCTGAGGAGCTCAAAGGGGTTTCCGTGGAAACGGGCTCCAACGTGTCTTGCTTGCCTGACTGAGTGCGGTCCCTGGGGGTAGAGTCAGAAGCAGCTTGGGCCGTGATTTGCCTTGCATCTCCCTCGTTAGTCGGGGACTCGCTAATTCGTCCCGGCTCAGTCTTCACGGGACTCCGGGAGTCTCCGGTACCTGGGGAAGGACAGGACTCGAATTTCTCCATCATCTTTCTTCTTCAGCCAACTGTAAGTGTGCCACTCCAGCAATCCCCTCCGGTTTAGCTGTGGGGAGGAGAGAGAGAGAGAGAAATGCAAATCAACTTTAGAAAGAGGGGTAAACAACAGGTGAAAGAAAACATTTTAACTGTTTGAAGACCGCGCTTCTTTGGTTTCCCTGAGGACACTGCACTCACACAGTCATAGAGATGTACAGCACAGAAACAGACCCTTTGGTCCAACTCGCCCATTCTGGCCTGATATCCTAAATAAATCTCGTCCCATTTGGCCAATATCCCTCTTAAACCCTTCCTATTCATGTACCCATCCAGATGCCTTTTAAATGTTGTAATTGTACCAGCCTCCACCACTTCCTCTGGCAGCTCATTCTATACACACACCACCCTCTGTGTGAAAAAGTTGCCCCTTAGGTCCCTTTTTTTAATCTTTCCCCTCTCACCTTAAATCTATGCCCTCTAGTTTAGGACGTCCTCCCCCCAGGGAAAAGACCTTGTCTATTCACCCTATCCAAGCCCCTCATGATTTTATAACCCTCTATAAGGTCATCCCTCAGCCTCTGATGCTCCAGGGAAAATAGGCCCAGTGTGTTCAGCCTCTCCCTGTAGCTCAAACCCCCCCAAACCCTGGCAATATCCTTGTAAATCTTTTCTGAACCCTTTCAGTTTCACAACATCTTTCCCATAGCAGGGAGAGCAGAACTGAATGCAATACTCCAAAAGTGGTCTAACCAATGTCCTGTACAGCTGCAACATGACCTCCCAATTGCTATACTCAATGCACTGACCAATAAAGGCAAACATACCAAACACCTTCTTCACTATCCTGTCTACTTGGGACTCCACTTTCAAGGAGCTATGAACCTGCACTCCAAGGTCTCTTTGTTCAGCAACATTCCCCAGAACCTTACCATTAAGTGTACAAGTCCTGCCCTGAACGGCCTTTCCAAAATGCAGCACATCGCATTTATCTAAATTAAACTCCATCCGCCACTCCTTGGCCCATTGGCCCATCTGATCAAGGTCCTATTGTGGTCTGAGGTAACCTTCTTCGCTGTCCAATACACCTCCAACTTTGGCGTCATCTGCAAAATTACTAACCATACCTCCTGCGTTCACATCCAAATCATTTATATAGATGATGAAAAGCAGTGGACCCAGCGCCGATCCTTGTGGCACACCGCTGGTCACAGGCCTCCAGTCTGAAAATCAACCCTTCACCTCCACCCTCTGTCTCCTACCTTTGAGCCAGTTCTGTATCCAAATGGCTAGTTCTCCCTGTATCCCGTGTGATCCAACCACTCGAAGGTGAAACTGAGGTATCGGAGCTAGAGGAAACCATTCAGCCATCAAGCCTGTCCTGTTCACTTAGACTGGATCAGATCTGGCTGATCAGCTCACTCTCGTTCCATCATCCCTTTCCTTGCCAAAGCTCAGTCTTGAAAGCTTGCCTTAGCCCAACATTCACAGAATTTTGAGGAGATGGAGTGCGGAATCATGTTGATGTGACTGGGCCAGCACTCCGTAAACCTGGCCTGACACCATTATGATTCAATTAATAAAATCGGCAATCGAAAACAAGACTGAGTCCCAGATGTTGTTTAAAAAAAAAAGTCCCATTTGCTTCACTGATGTCCTCAAGGGAAGGAGAATCTGCTGTCCTTACCTGGTCCGGCCTACACGTGACTCCAGGCCTACAGTGATGGCTCCCAACTGCATTCCCCCCCACAAATGGCTGAGCCAGCTGCTCAGGTCAAGGGGCAGTTACGGACGAAGCAACAAGCATCAGCCTCTCCAATGATGCGGAGACTGAAGGGAACGGGAAATTAAAAACCTTGCACTGTAGGTCAAACAGTAGTTGCTCTGTGCACAGCAAGATCCCACAAGCAGCCTCGTAATGACGACAAGGTAATCTTCCGTTTTTAGGGTGTGCTCGAAGGATGAACATTGGCCGGGAAACCAGGGAGGGTGCACTCTGTCCTCTTCAAACTGTCCCACAAATTATTTTACGATGACTGGAGAGTTTTAACACAGAGACTGCAGCAACAAGCCTGTGCTTCCCAAACTGTTTCCCCCTCCCCACTGTCAGCCCACCTGTGACACTGGAAAATGGCTGTGCCCCCACTCCTCCAAGTAAGAGTTGAGGGTGTGTGTGTGTGAGTGCGTGTGTGTGTGTGTGTGTGTGAGTGAGTGGATGTGTGAGAGAGTGAGGATGTATGTGTGTGAGTGAGTGTGTGAGCCTGTGAGTGTGTGTGAGCA